GCATTTTGTGCCAAAACAATGATAATCGAACCTCAGTTTGGCCCACATAGACTTCTGCTGTGCACACTGTATGTAGAGTTTTGCAAATGTGACCCAAGTATTGAGAAATGGGTCCTAACGTCTGTAAAAAACTGTAAAATCAATAGTAAGCTACATGTCTCGCGATTAAAAAAAAACCAGGATGAAGCTGTTGAGTTTTACAAATATGTTATTGTTAAGTTGTGGGGTAACGTGTATATGTATTATACTGTAAAATGATTTCTGACTGACATGAAGCTGGTCTCACGGTTTGATGGTTTTGTTTGAAAGTCAGATTCTCCAAAAGAACAAAAGCATTGAACATTTTCTTGGAATGACACAATTATATTGTGAGAAGGACCCTAATGCCTAGAAATCCAGACAGACCAGAAACTAAAGATTTTGTTTAGCAGGTTGCTCTAGTCACGCTCCATTGTAGCCTCAGCAGGTCTACCATTGGCCAGAGTGGTTTTGTGTCTTGCCAATCACAGCGTTCTGATGGTTTGGTGGGCGGGATTAGCTCTAGCACTGTGATGAATCAAAGCAACAAAGATGGCGGTGGATCATGTGAAACAGCTTTGGCGTCAACTTTGGACTATTTAGACTTTTATTTGTTTCTCTAAATGTTATGTATAAATGTTGTATTTAACAGAGTCACATTTTGTTTTGATGCATTTTTAAACTCAAGAGATGAACTCCAAAATGTTTCATTTCCTTGACAACTTCTGTTTTTTCTCTTTTGACATACGTGGTAGGCATGTTTATATGTTTGTTGGTTTAAACATCACATTTAGTGTAAGACAGGATGCTTCAAGCTAGTTGCTAATTGTTCATCACTGTAGAAAGTTTAGAAGCAACTTATCATGTACAAAGATAACTGCATCATCTGAGTACATGATAATGTCTCCATCTTTACACACAGCTGGGAAGTTATCTATGCAAAGGCTGACCAGCAGAGACCCCAAAACTGACCCTAGTGGGACCCCGTTGAACAGAGCAGAGAGGAGGACGTTTGACGATAAAGAGCCCGACCTGTTAGGGATGATCTAAACAAGTTTAATGCAGATTCTGACAATTGAAAAGAGGAAGTTATCTGAGTAATACTTGGTAGCTGACTCAGACAAATGCCTTCCTAAAGTCTAAAAACACTGCCGCACATTTCTCCTTCATCCAGCTTGATCTGATCCTTTCTGAAAAGCAGAGGTCGCAACGGTTACGTGACTGAATTGCATAGAAGGTAAGTAGCCATTTAAATTTAGAGATTTTATCACTCATTCAGTGATTTAGAAAACTATAGTTCATTTGTTTATCAGCCATTAGTTTCCTACTTCTTTTTCTTTTCTGATTTGTATTTTTGGTATTACCACTGATGCCTTAAGGGTCTTCGATTGATCTGTTAACAATGAGGGTTAGACAGGGTGGTACGTCATTCTGTGGTTTTAAAGAGAGACATGTCTAGTCCCCAGAAATGTTTGGCTTTTGGATTGGATGATCACGGTTTGATTTAGTCACTTTTACAAGTGGTGGTGTACAAGGAAAATAGGAGAAAGAGGTTTGTTTAGGTATTTACAGTAAAGTCTACGAAGTAGTTACTGAAATGATTGGTTACTGGCCATCTTTAAAATATATACTGTGAATTAAAGCTTAAGTTCAAGTTCATATGCTGCTGTAACAAGTGAATTTCCCAACTGTGGGATTAATAAAGTCTATTCTATTCTATTCTATTCTATTCTATTCTATCAACCAATTCATGCTCAAAATGTTTCCTACCAGTCAGCTAATCAATCCAGATCAGGTTTGTATTTCCTTTGACTTGTTTAATAATATCAATAAAAAAGTTGCATTTGCTTCTCTTATCTATGGAACAACTTTGTTTCTATGTCTGTTACATATCAGCTGGCTAGTTATTTTCTTCATTAAAAAGATAAAGTGCTTGATTACAGAATCTGAGATAGAAATCCAGTAAAACCACATAAACTGTCCTCCCAGTAGCCCTTCCCAGAGCTGAGTTCACTTCTGTTCTGTCATTGTTAACTCTCTCTGCTCTCTGTGTGTCCCCACTTTAAGGAAAATATAATCTTCATTTGTAGAAATTTCTATGTGCGGACATTTCATTGTGGAGCTGGGCAAGGACACCGCTCTGGTGCATTCTTCCTTTGCCATCCCGTAGAACAATTGCTTTGAGACTTTGACGTTTTCACTAAAATGCTGATTTCTCTGCTTGTTTGATGGAGTCCAACTATCCAAGTTTTGAGTGTTGCAGTTTTGTTTATCAAGGGGTCTTGGGTCATCCTGGATCTTACATCCATCTCTTTATTTCAACATTTGAGATGATTCGTGGCAGAAGGAACAATCTTAGATGTGATGAGGGTGTGTTATATGATAATAGTGAGATCTTGTCTTTAGGGCTTATTCGACTGGTTGTTAGTCTTCAAATAATCTTCTCTTCTTGCAAACGGGAGTGTGTGGTCATCTGATTTTCTCTTGAAGTTTTTCTGTTTCCTGGCAGCTGAATGTAGCAGAGTTAATGTAAAAGTGCTCTGATCTCTTTGAGTTGAGGGAAAGATGATATTTAATTTTCCACAAACTCCTTCACTTTGATCTTCAGCTGCAAAACCATGGTTTATCTCAGTGGAAGTGTTCTAGTCTTCACTATCAAAGATAAGTTAAGTTCTATGAATGCAGTCTGAAATAATCTATTATGAGTTTGTGGATCTGAGGTAAAAAGTATGATCTTGGAGTGGCAGAAATGATCTACCTCCAGAAGTGGCTGGGCTCTTAGAGATAAGATGAGGAGCTTTGCCATGTGGGGGGAGCTCAAAGAGGAGCACTGGCTCTGTAGGCATCAACGGATGCGGTTACATAAAGATCCTATTTGGAGTCTAACTTAGCTGGGTTCATGGTGGCCTCTTGATTAGGCCCATCTTACTAAAACCAGGTTGGATCTCATTTTCAGAATCAGAATCATGTTTTTTTCCCAAGTATTTCAAACACACAAAAAACTTCTTTACATTTGGAATCACCTTAATTCTTGATGTCATGGACCCGATGAGGGTTCTGGTCCGTATTGACATGGTAACATCTTCCTCATCATCATGTTTTCGGTTTTTCAATCCCCAGAGATCGTTATGGGTTCAGATCCCAGCAGATCAGCAAGTTCTTAAATTCTTAGACCAGTTTGTCTGGTACCAACAACCATGTTGTGTTCATAGTCCGTTAAATCTAATTTCTTCTCCATTCCTGATGCCCAGGTTGAACTTCAGCTGATCCTCTATGAATAAATGCAGAGTTGCTGTCACACGATAGGCTGATTAGACATTTGTGTGCACAAGCAAACAAGTGCACAGAATAAAGTGGTAAATAAGTGTCGGTTGTGCATTTTGTATGAAGACGATTAGAAGCTTTTAGGCACATATCTGTTACTTTTAGCTTTTCGTGTGTTTACTATGGCTGATTAGCTGTAGGGTTAATGAGAACCAGTAGTTTATTATTTTATCCATTTCACTGGTAAAACATGATCACCTGTCTTTCCTTGTGCAGCAGATGACTCTTGATTCTGCCCCCAAATTCTTTCTTCATTAGAAATGATTTATTTTAGGTTAAATTAAAGGTGTTTTTTAATTATTATTTCTGATTATAAATGATCACTCTGAGTTTTTCATGCAGGCTGAACATGAAAATAGTCTCCTACACCTGTCTCCTGCTTTAGCTTCAGATAGAAAATAGATGGTGAAATGCTAGGATTTGAAAATCCTCACACTGTGATGTCACACTGTACGTTTGCATTTATGGCCTCGCCCATCTTGGCTCACTCCCACCCAAAGGAGGGCTTTTAAAAATTGATTTGCAGCGAGGAGAGAAAGTGGAGAGTGTGTTGGTGATGGTGACATAGCAACAAGGCTGAATGTGTTTTGCTAGCCAATAAAAAGTGATGTGTGTGCATATCATTAACAATATTGAGCAATTCTGCTGTTTTCAGTCCACCTCTGCACCAGCAAACTTCTGAATCTCAAAAACAAGTGTATCATAGCTTTTTTTTATTTTAATGAATAAATAAGGCATTGATTTACACTAGAGAACACTGCAAATGTATTTAATAAATGAGTAAACCACACCTTTAAAACATTATACACATTATTGCAAAATCGCAGGTGTTTATATTCACAATTTCACACCCTGTAATTCAAATACTGAGGTTCAATAATCTGTCATCTTCTCACACCATCAGCTGGTTCATGCTGTGAACCTGGTGCTATCCTACGCAAGCTAATGAACACATACTGTAGCAGCATCAATAAACACACACACACACACACACACACACACACACACACACACACACACACACACACACACACACACACACACACACACACACACACACACACACACACACACACACACACACACACACACACACACACAGGAACACCATCTTACATCCTGGCAGGAATTACAACACAGAACGTACCAATGGCAGAGGAGGAGGACGGACAAGGAGGAGATGATTGTGCCACTGAGCCAGGAAGATTGTAACACCTTAGCAACAAACAGGCCAGTTCTCCCACTGAGGAGGAGCCACACAGAGCCGGCTCATGAATACCCAGCTAATCACAGACTGACAACAGATAAATTATGCTCATGTATCTAATGCAGCAGCTGCACAAATGAAACACAAACAGGAAAACAACCTCCTCTTTCCCTCCAAAAACAGCCATCCATCTCCTCCTCCTGTTTGCCTCTCCTGTTTAACCTTCCCTGCCTCTCCCTGTCACTGATCTTTCCTCCTGCAGTGTCCCCTCATTTAGCAGCCTGTCTGTGCATCACTGCTTCACCCACCACCTCCCCCTTCCTCTCAGGAACACAGGGAGGAAGATGGAGGGGAGGGGATGGAAAAAAGATGGGCAATAAAAAGCGGGGGACGGTCTGAAAGGGGAGAGAGAGAGAGAGAGAGAGAGAGAGAGAGAGAGAGAGAGAGAGAGAGAGAGAACCAGGGGCATGCTAAGGGAGGGGCGTTGGCGATCCCTGTCTGTGGGTTTGCGAGGGTGAAGCTCAGAGTGAGAGGGAGACGAGCCATGCTTGTGTGAGGGCGTGTGCGTGATGTGCGCTGGACTCTGTGAACCCGTGTGACGGTGTGTCTGTCGGAGGCGTTCCTGGAGCTGCTAGAGAGGGGACTCGCCTCAGCGCCTCCTCTGTGCTGTCATGCTCAGCATTGCTGATGTGCACTGAGGACACGGGTGACCCAGGAGACAGAGAGAGGGACGTGATGGACGGACATCCACCTGGACTCCTGCTGGTTTCGCCTCCTGATCCCCTCTGGCCCGCATCACTGAGGCTGCCCGCCTCCCTGCGCTCTGTGAACGGATGCTGCTGTCTTCACACATGTGAGCCCTGCACTGGGAGCCCATGATCTCTACTGGACTGTGTTCTGCTCTGGGAGTGGCATGCTGCTTGGATGAATTTTTGACGATTTTTCATTTTACGGCAGTTCTTTCTGTCTTTCTTGATGATGAATTATGCAAGGACACCATTGTTATAATGTAAAAGGAGAATTTTGGAGCCAGTGAAGAGGATGGACTGAGCCGAGGGGTGCAACCCAGGAAAACAAGGCTGAGTAAACCATCAGGGGTGAAAATTTATGGTCCTCGATAGCTGCATACAGTTTGTGTGTCTCCTAAAGAACAAAAGAGCTGTTTGGTCAGGATTGTCAGAACGCTCAAGGTTGTCAGGAGGACAGAATTTCATTTTAATGTTGCAAAGAAATAAAAATCAAATTCAGTCTGTGACTGAAACAACAAAACCTAAGATTGGTGATCTGGGTGAAACCAGCATCGCCTCTGCTGTCAAGTCTTCCAAGGGGAAACTTTGTCTCCCTCTCCATGAGTTCTTGTCAAAGTGGCAAACGTGTTGATGTTTTTCTGCTTGGTTTCATTCGCCCACTGTGAGTCCACTGAAGCCTGACCACATGAGTGGAGGCAGCACTCTGCAGCAACGCACCACCTACCTCATCTCCCTCACCTTGGTCAAGGTAGAGGCTGTAGATGAGGATGGAGGGGAGGCCAAGAAAAGTTCCCAAGAGAAGGGGGTTGAGGTTGGAGAAGAAGGGAGACCAGGGGGTGGGACGGAGGCTGAAGTTGAAGCCCCCCTAAGGGCCGAGAACGGAGCTGGGGTTGTTGGACAACCACACGGAGCTCATGATGCTGAAGCAGTGAAAGAAGGCTCTGATTCCCTTCAAGGTGAAGAAAGGGACTCTCCCAGTCCTCGAACAGATAAAAGAGTCCCCAATGTTGAGGCTGCAAGAAAAGGTGGAGAAAAGCCTCCATCCATCCTGTCAATCCCCTCACCTGCTCAAGGGCCAACAGTTCAAAAGACCAAATCTGCAGATGATGTGGAGGAATCGGGTCCTATTACTGAAGCAAAATGCAGGTCTCCATCACTGATCCCACCACCACCCATGGAGCTGGTCGAGCCCAGCCGCACTCCAACCAGAACCAGCCTTCCCATCCGTCCAGCGGGACAGCGACCTGTGAGTCTGCTGAAGTCTCACAGCAGCGTGACCACGCGTGGCAGGGACTTCAGGGAGGGTCGGGACCGTAGCCCTACCTCAGCGCAGAGTCTCGATCGCAAGGACTGCCGCATGACAACACGCTCGCCGGGCCCATGCAGAGCCTCCTGGGCGGAGGCGAGCCGGCCCGAAGGATGGAGGGACCTGCAGGATGAGAATGAAGCTGCACTGGCCTTTGATATTGGAGGTGGTGTGTCTGCAGTGATGAGAGACAATCCTCGGAAGGAAAGACTGAAGACAGCCTCAACATCCCTACCTGTACCTGCCACCAAGGTCTCCAAACCAGCACGCAAAGGTAAAAGCCACACGCTGGATAACAGCGACCTGAACAGCCTCTCTGAGGACCTGGGGCTGGCCCAGCAAGCCCAGCACAACCAGAGAGGTTCTGCTAAGGACAGGAAAATGCTGAAGTTCATCAGTGGCATTTTCAATAAGAGTAGTTCTGGGACAGCTGGGTTGTCCTCCACAGCACCCCCTGTCTACATACAGAGAGACTCCAGTGAGGAGGAAGGTAGGAGGTCACAAACACACCACCTCTTACACCCACCCTTCATCACATGCTTGTCTGGAGTCATTAGTTACCAAACACTAATCAGATTATAAGCTCCCTATCTGTGCATTTAAAACGTGTCAGGCTGGGATTGGGTGGGGTTGAGCTTTTTAAAGAACCCCACACAGAACACTCTCACTGGCTACAACTCTGTCACGTGTCGCCGGAGCGTTTTCCTGTCACCATGTGCTGCTGGAAATTTATGACATGTAATGCTCTTTGATCTGAGAACTGACAATAGGATGCTCTTGGAGGGTTTTAACCTAATTCCCCTCAGAGCGTGGGCTGATTTCACACCGCCGCAGGAGTAATCAGCACTCACACACAGACACCGACACCATAAACACACCCACTCCAGCAGCATTCTCAGAGTGGGCTTAAATCTCATAATGAAGCCAAAGGGGAGAGGCGCTTATGGGACAATCACAGATGGATCTATCCAATCTGGCAGATTTTACCTCCGGCTTTTGTGTCCATGAAGGTGGAACGCCTGGGAGCGAGAAGAAACACACGATGATATGTTAGAAAGGGGAGACAGACACCCCACACCCCATTTCCCCTCCCTCTTTGTTTTTGTCAGATTATATTCAAATTCAGGTCCAAATCTCAGTGTGGTATTTCAGGAATTTAAAACCGTTTTCCTCTGTGCAGCTGCAGCGTCTAACAGTCCATCTCTTTGATGAACATTTGTACTATGTGTGTGTGTCTCTGTGCATGTATGTGTCTGTGTGTGTGGATGTGTGCGTGTGTGTCCATGCGTGCGTGTGTGTGCATGTATGTGTATGTGTGTGTGCGTTTGATTTTTATCTGTTCATTCAGTCATTGTGTATTCAGACTGTTAAACATGCACACTGTGGATCCACTCATGTAGTGAGACTAGCCCTGCCAACTGCCGAAACACACACACACACACACACACACACACACACACACACACACACACACACACACACACACACACACACACACACACACACACACACACACATTCTCAAGGCAAGAAGGAGTGTTGCCATGGCAACCGTCAGGCCTGCTGCTCGTGCTGCCGCTACTGGAGCACAGTCTGATGAAGCAGGATGGAGGAGGTTTTGTGTGTGTGTGTGTGTGTGTGTGTGTGTGTGTGTGTGTGTGCGCGCACGCGTGTGCATGTGTTTAAGAAAAGATGTTGGCACATGACTTAAAGAACAATATTTTAATAGAAAGAAACAAAGTCCAACATCAGCTACAGTTCAGTTTAGATGGAGATTTGAATGTGAATGGCTTTCCATAGTAATGTGTGTGTGCTGACTGTAGCAGAAGGACCCCACTGCAGCACCTGAATACCAAAAAGAGCTTTCTGTTGGAAAGACAGACTGAGACAAAGTCTCTCTCTCTCTCTCTCTCTCTCTCTCTCTCTCTCTCTCTCTCTCTCTCTCTCTCTCTCTCTCTCTCTCTCTCTCTCTCTCTCTCTCTCTCTCTCTCTCTCTCTCTCTCTCTCTCTCTCTCTCTCTCTCTCTCTCTCTCTCTCTCTCTCTCTCTCTCTCTCTCTCTCTCTCTCTCTCTCTCTCTCTCTCTCTCTCTCTCTCTCTCTCTCTCTGTGTGTGTGTGTGTGTGTGTGTGTGTGTGTGTGTGTGTGTGTGTGTGTGTGTGTGTGTGCCACAGGATTTGCCATTTATGTGACAGCCTGCAGCTCCAAGCCCCTTTCTTTTTTGGCTACAGTAGCCCATCATCACCAGCTGCAGGCGTCTGGCATCAGCCTGGCTGCTCCATACATACAGTCTGTGCCAGATTCACTTAAATCATCATTGTTATTGAGGGACTCATCGCACACTCACACTGAGCACAGAGACATATTTCTGTCATAAGCACCTGCCAAACTCTCCAGGTCTCCTTCCTGACAAATTTTCTCTAATATATTGCTTTCATTTTTTACAAACCTTTTAGTATTTTACAAACAAAAAAGTCACCGGCCCTTGTTAAATAGAGACTGAAATCCTGTTGGATTAAAAATAGTTCAAGATGATTTCTTCTGAATGCTTATGTGTTAATTTCAAAGCGTAGTTCCACCAACAGCCACTAGAAGTTGATTCCAAATGATCTGTCTCCGTTTGGCTCATCTTAAAATGCCTCCCTTTTATAAAAGCAACTAAACTAAACTTCACACAAAAACTCAGGATCTGTGTTTTGGGTTGTTTTTTTTTTTTTTTTTTTGCTGTAAAGCCTGTTTAGTCCTTCTTAATCGGAGCTATATTTGCGAGCATCAGAGTTTACTGGTTGTGTTTCTGAATAACTTTTCAAATGTTCTGTTGACTTCTCGTTGATGTTCTTTATTGGACAGAATGGCATTAGTCTCACAAAGAGCTCATTGAAATGACCTCTAATGAAACTCCATTGCATAAGGTACCGTCCCATTCCATCGTACTGCCTCCACCTATAAGCTGGTACCCCATTAGATAGACTCAGTCATCACTAAAAGGTCAGATTCCCTCTTCAAACAGGCGGTTTAGATGACAGCTTGTTTTACTGTTTGAAGATGAATCCACCACCGTGTCTCTGGCTAAACTTGGTCTCTTTCTCTTCAGTACAAATAGCCAACAGTCAGGAGTGGACACTGAGCAGATCCATCCCTGAGCTGAGACTGGTGAGTGAAACACTAAAAGAAAGCACAAAGGTTTCACACTGATCTCCCTTCAGAAAGCAGAAATTGTTGACTTTATTTATACTAAACTTATCAGGGAGCTCAAATTTAGAAATGAGCTTGTCTGAGACATCTTTTCCTTCTTTAGGCATGACTTTTGATGACCTGTAAATATCACAACACTGCTTCAACTATTCTCACATTTCTTTACACAGATATGAAACAGTAAAACGGCGATTATGAAAAATTTAATAAGTGACTAAATTAAATGTGATGGAGAATCTAAGCCTAAATATAGGTATGAAAGTTCTCTGTCTGACAGAAAATTTCATTTTTTGTGTTTTCTTCCTCCATTTTTCTCTCAGGGCATTCTGGGAAGTTTGAACAGTGGCAGGTCAGCGCTGGTGAACAAATACATCACAGGCAGTTATGTTGCAGCTGACAAACGTGATGGTAAATACTATCTTCTAAACAGAAACAACTGTTTGTCTTACTTAGAGGAACTGTTTGTCAGTGATGGATCATCCTCCAGTCGTCGTGCTGCAGATTGACTTGTCTGTCATTGTCACTGTCCTTGTCAGGTGGACGGTATAAAAAAGACGTTCTGGTGGATGGTCAGAGTCATTTATTACTGATCCGGGAGGAACCTGGATCACCTGATACACAGGTGCTTAACTTACATACACAAAAGACCCATTACTCTCATGTATTGTTCTGAAATCTGTACGTGTGTGTTAGTGAGTACTTTTTCTTTACCAAGATAATCCATCCCACCTCACAGGTGTGGCATATCAAGGGGCTGATTAGACAGCATAAATAATGTACAGGTGTGCCTTAAACTGCCCACAATAAAAGGTCACCCTGACATGTGCACAGTTTTGCTTTATGGGGGCTGGTGTGGCCACCACCAGATACTGGTGGAATTTGTGATTAATCTTCAGGTGGCAGGCGGACAAGGAAAAACCCACAAAATGAAAAACTTCTAATTATGATGGTAGAGATGAGCTCCATCAGTCAGGATCTGGATGAGAACTTGACAAATAGCATCTCAGGATGGACTACAGAGGTTTATAAGAAAGACCAGCACAGGAAATATCGAGATTTTACATAAACTTCATGTATTTTCCAAAATTCCTTTAAAATTAATTTAATTATTAACATTATACTACAACAACCACATAGATATTTGACAAAATTATTTATAAGGACTTGAAAACCCGGACAGCTAACGCCTCCTTCTGCTATGCTGTTCCAGTTCTGCAGCTGGGCTGATGCAGTGATCCTGGTCTTCAGTCTGGAGAATGAGGCCAGTTTCCAGGAGTTGTACCAGCTCTACAGCCAGCTCAGCATACATCGCTCAGATATTCCAGTCATCGTTGTGGGCACTCAAGGTGTGCCCTCAAATCACTTCACATTCCATGTTTGAATGTTTTACACATTCTGTGGCTGAAGCTTTGTCCCCTGATGATGTCAGATGTGCTTTGCTGCTACTTTGATGCTTAGAGTTTCTATGCTTAGCTATTTCAAGTCCTCGGGTAATTATCAGTCACATTCTGCGCCCCAAACACACACACACACACACGCGTGCGTGCACACACACACACACACACACACACACACACACACACACACACACACACACACACACACACACAATGTACATGAGAGTCTAGTTACTGAAGGAATGGTTCTCTACAAGGACTTAGTCATCATCTTATCTTCACTTTGAAGAACCATTCAAAAACTTTGATTTGTCATGAATGTCATATCTCCAGCATTAGCCACCAACAGAAACAGCTCAGGTCAGATAAAGCTACACAGATCTAGGTCACACTGAAAATTAGCATTCATAGACTCACCTATCATGGCATATGATGGGGAAGGTGGTTGGTTTAGTATCCAGGATAGAGCAGACCACTTCTCAGCTAGTAGAAGTTAACCATTTGCTTTAGTAACTCCTTCAGACTTGTGTTATGAAGATTAAGCTGGATTTATACTTCTTCGTCAGCTCGAAAAAGGAGAGACACGCACTCACGGACAGAGACATTTTGCCCTCGTACTTCTCCGTCTCCTGGGGAGTGTCGCAAAGCAATTCCCCGCCAAGACAACAGAGGGCGTAGCTCTGTTCTGTGGTATCCTGTCATGTATCCGGTCCAAGATAGTGTGTTTATATTGTGTTTTTCTTTTGTGTATAAAGACTTTTTAACACAGACAAATTTGTTTCTCCTTCTCCTCCACCTCTTCATGGGCTTGCCACCTCTAAACCCACGTTTCCTGTAATTTTCGTCCACAAATAAAATGCTTGCTGTGCATCTTTTCACTCCTCCAGTCACGGGGGAATTAAACGTTCATATTCTTAGAGTTTTTTTCGCGAGGTATTCTTCAAGCTTCTCCGTGTCTGCCGCTAGTTATCCTCGGGTCTCTTTATATTTTTGAGGGCGCAGTGGCGGTGGTGTAGACGACAGCAGCGTCCTGACCAATCACAAGCTTGCGTTCTCCGTCTCGACGGTCGGATGTTTAGAAAAGAGAGCTCGACTCCGTCCGTCCTTGCGAACCTGCTGGAGAGCTCTGGCAAGGACGGATAATGGTGTTGCATGTCTCTGCACTGAAGCAGATGCAGAAGCATCACTCAGGCTTGAGACCTTAACATTGCTAAGCAAACATCAATGTTGCCTACAGGGAGAAGGAAGGACAGAGCTGGGAGATGAGAAACATGATGTCAGCTATGGAGTTCTCCAAGGATGCTGCCTTGGTTCATTAAAGTTTTCATCATGCTGTACATGCTCTCTGCTGGTGCTCTCACCAGAAACCACAACATGTTTCCAAATATGTGCCGATGACACCAAACTGTACAGTTTCCGTCTCATACTAAACATTAATAAAAACAAGTCTCTTTCTCCTTGGAAACATTGAAAACTAATGCCATCCGTGTCTCTGACAGATGCATAAAACTGATTCACATATTTATTTTTTTATTAATAATAGTAATAGATCAGAGTTACTTAACGCTTTTACCCAAGGCACTTTACACTCATACTGGTCTCTCATTGATACATCTGAGTTTGACTACCAGTGCTATTTAAATAAATGTTATATGTTTTTAGCTGATGGGATAAAGTGCACCACCATGTTAATTCTCACTGGTCTGGTTTGTTAAGATAAAATCAGCAACACCAACCCTCGTGTGATTGAAGATCAGAGAGCCAGACAGCTATGTATCGATGTGCGACACTCCCTGTTCTACGAGACCTGCGCCACCTACGGGTTCAACGTCGACAGAGTGTTTTCAGAGGGTGAGTTGGCTCATTGTAACGATACAAATGTAAACATGCAAAATTAAGAAACTGATGATAAACTACCTGTCAGCTGAGTGAAACTTTGAGCAGCAGCCTGTATGTTTTGCAGCTGCCCAGAAGATCGTAGCACAGAGAAAACAGGCAGCACTGCTGGCCTGCAAATCTCTGCCCAATTCCCCCAGTCACTCTGGAGGCTCCACACCTGGATCAGCATCATTCCCTGGACAGGTAACACATCTCACCCCATTCTTAAGAAAAATCCCTGTGATCCGTCAGCCCAAAAAATGATGACAGTTTAAAATAAATGTAGTTTTATTTAAAAAAAAAAATCAGAAACGGTTTAAATAAAGCTAGTCAAAGTCAGAGTGTCCAGTTGTGCAGGATTCACCATCATCTAATTAAAGACCTAGGGTGTGTTGGGAAATGAAGGAATTGTAGTTGTTTGGGTTAAATCTGTGTGGTCTCACTCCAGCATAAACCGTTTGGTGTTGTCGAACGCCTTTCAGCTACAGACACGGGACTTTTTTTTATCTCAGCATCGCTAAACCTGATGGAGCTACAGCTGGGTTTGCTTTAGCTGAGATGAGCTGTTACAACATCATGACCTACGTGGATTTTTTCAAAATTTTAGATAAAATCTACCAAAGGGATTATGGGATGTTTTGGTAACATTCGTGAGTTAAATGTGGAGCTCTGTCTGGACGGTTTTGACTCGGAACAGATGAAGAAAACTCCTCAGATCTTTGGGGACGACACCTATAAAGTCTGGTTTTGAATACATCTCAGATGTGTTCTATCACTCACCGTCGCTGGCACCACTCACTCATGAGGATCGACCACTCACCCTCTCGATCTTCATCCATTTGTTGTCAATCAACTCATCGTCACTCTCTCCACCTCCCCCTCCCTTCTCATTTTCATCCCCCTTGTCCCCTTTCCTCCCCATCTCAGGCCAGTAATGGCCCCAGTAGCAGCTACGCCTCGCTCCCCTCCACCCCCGTGGTGAGTCACAGAGAGCTGCGAGCTGCTCAGGTGGAGGGGGGAGGCAGCACCAACTCACGGCTGCAGAAAAGCATTCCCAGGCGACCCTCCCTGTTTAAGGTCAGTCACTGCCGTCTGGTTGTTGCTTCTGGTCACTCCTCCGACATTCTCACTCCATCCTCGCCTCCCCCGACCGGCTCTGATGAAATCATCTGTTTAACACCATTAATGTTTATTTTCATTTTCCGTTGTTTTCAGAATCGAGACTCTGATAAGAAAACAAGTGACTCTAAAGCTGACCTGAGCAGCATGCGTGGGGCTCCAATCAAACAGGTTTGTGAGTTTTTTTCAAAAACTCATGACTCTGAAAGACCCGTTCCATTTTCCTAAACTAGGAGGAAGCAAGACTCATCTATTTATTTCATTCTTACATAAGCTGCAACATAAATGTTCTTTTGTTTCATCCTCTCAGGTTTATTAATAGAAATGCTCTCAGCTATTCTCGTCTAGCTCTTTTTATAATGCTGCAACACTTTGAAGGAATCATTGTTGGCTCTAAATTTAGTCAGACTGGTGCTGTTAGTGCCATGACCTCGCTGTTGTTTTCAACAGGCCATCCTGTGGAAGAGAAGTGGAAGCTCTCTGAATAAAGAGTGGAAGAAGAAATACGTCACCCTGTCGAACAACGGCACGCTGTCTTATCACTCCAGCTCCAGTGTAAGTGAAACAGCCACGCACGGATCAATGCAGCAGTAAAACATGGTGGCGCGTCCGTGGACTCGCCGGACAGCCGTCACGGGGAGAGGTGATTTGTAGATTTACAGATTCAACACCACAGAGGAATCGACCTCACGAAATATTCACCCTTTGTTCTTCAGGCAGTACGCCGAGCACCCTTAAAGGGGCAGCATCTTCCCTGAGGCTGTGAGGCTCATCAACTCAGAACATTTTATCATTCTAGATCTCCAGCAGCTTTGAATGTCAACATAAATCAACATTTAATCAAACTTATCTTAAAAGGTATCAAGTCTCAAATGTGGGGCTTCACATGCAGCTTGTACATATATGGCTCTGAAGAGTTTTTAGTTTCATGAAAGTCAGACCATACAGCTGTTAGATGGCAGAGTGACCCACCATTTTGAGCTTGATCTTCCAGTTTTTAAAAGGAACATAAAGACTAGGAAGCATGCTGCTGGCTGGCTCTTCCTTTAAAAAACATGTTTACTGCTTGGCAACCCCCCCCCATCCCACACACACACACACACACACACACACACACACACACACACACACACACACACACACACACACACACACACACACACACACACACACACACACACACACACACACACACACACACACACACACACACACACGTCCCAGCGTTCCTTTTTTCTTTAGTTGGCAGACTAAAACCATTTTTCATTAGCAGAAACATCCAGAGCGAAGCAGCAGAAACTTGTTTTTTCTGCACTGGACAAATAACAGAACCTACTCCAGGGGCGTGGTGGAGAACTAATAGGTGGCCGGGTAAAAGAATCAATAGCATCCAGTTTCAGTGAAGCATCATATTATCTTTCTCTTAGCTGACATGCATCACTGTCAGGCTGTGAACGTTATGCTGATGTCATTTGTACTTTGACCTTTTATATTATTTACATTCATCATTGGAATAATGGCAACATTTGATATTTGCCCTTTTAGCTTTACAATTATTCACTTAAACATTAATAGAATTCATTTGTATCTGAGAATAAGAACAGACTTGTTAACTTTTGCAAATTAGAGCTGAGAGGGTTAACAGGATTGTGCAGGTTAGCTTTATTTGTCAGTGAACCAGTATCCCGGAACAATGAAATGTAGTTTTAGTACAACCATCCCAAGATCAGACATTAAGCACATGAAGCATGTAGAAAAAAAACTATTTCACTGAGGGCATGTGGCCACCTTTATTTGATATTTGATCTCACGGGCCAATTGAAAATAGATCACGGGCCAAATTTGGCCCGAGGGCCTGAGTTTGATACCTGTAATCCAATATATGACTGCTTTGATTCTCTACATTAAAGATTATTTAGTAATTCCAAAATACGCAATATATATTCAGCAACAAATTTAGGTTGTGAGGTCCTGGTTAGGCAGTCAAATAAAATTAGTAAATTAATTAAGTTTTTAACCTTTTCTTAGGACTATACGCAGAATACTCACAGGAAAGAGATCGACCTGCTGCGTGTGACAGTTAAAGTTCCAGGGAAACGTCCTCCTAGAGCCGTGGCTCCCTCAGGCCCCTCACCTACCCCCCATGTTGCTGTACCTGGAGTTAACGGGCTCAGCAAGGAGACAACAGTGGCTGACATCACCAGCACAGGTACTTCCTCCTGAGCACACATCAACCACCAGTGAGGACACATAGAAGTCCTTCAGAAGAGCTGTTCTCATTCCCACTAGGGTATTGGCTCTCAGACCCAAATGAAGACATGATAATGAAGCAGAGCGATGCTCACATTTCTTCTGGACATAGAAAGAGACTTCCTGTTGAATGATGAGATTATAAACAGGAAGTAATCTTGTTTCTTCTTCTGGTCTTCAGTTCCTCAGCTGTGTCCAGCCACTCTCTCTGTGGCTGATGACCGCTCCGGTGGTTTGTCTCATCAGGGAGGTGATAAAGGACTTCAGCGTTGTCCCTCTTCATTGTCCACTGAAGCACAAAGTGTTGGTTAGTACAAGTCTCAAGTCTCTTTATATTTCTGGTTATAGTTGTGCTTGAACCACAAAAATCTCTAATGTGTTATATGTCTCTGATGTCAGACGGTCTGGAAGGGACCGCTGGTACCTTTACTGGAAAAGATCCAGGCCAGTCGTCACCCATGAGCGACAGGAAGAAGAACCGAAGGAAGAAGAGCATGAATCAGAAAGGAGATACAGCTGTCGGACAAGCTGAGGGTAAAACCACCTTCTCTGTCCTTGATACCAACACTATAAAAATGTAATCCTAACATTAGTAACTCCTGGTTTTCTTCACACCATGTTTAAAGATTAAACAATGCATCTTTTGTGCTACTTTATTGTCTCTGCCTCTAAAAACAAACAAACAAACAAACAAACAAACAGTGTTTGGTTTTAAAATTCTGTGCCTAAAACAAGCAACTTCAAAAAGTCCCCTTTTGTGATGTCACAAACTGAGAAACTACATGCAAGAGAGCGTTTCTGCTGGAGAAGCACCAGCTCTACTCTGAGCCCCTCCTAAGCTTCACAGCTTGTAGGAGCCTGAGTGGGGGAGGGGTGGGCATGACCAGCTCCAGCTTGTTTTGTTAAAAAGACAGAGCCCTAAAATGGCTCATTCTGAAAGATGCGATAACGGTTGAGAATAAGACTGAAAAAAAGATGAAAACTCTTTAATATGAGAGAGATTTTGCATCAAGTACTTTCTAAACATGTTTGGATTGACCGTAGAACTGTTATGATCTAAGAACAATTGCCATATGTCCCCTTTAATTTTAGCCTGACTCAGTTTGTCTGAGCATTATCTTCTAATTACCAAAATCTGGATTACGGGGGAAGCAGTGCTCTTCTTCTGCTCCTCTTCACCAGACCTCAAGGCATTTAAACTGATACTCCCAGATCCAGAGTAGACAATTCAATTCAATTCAATTCAATTCAATTCAATTCAAATCAATTCAATTCAATTCATTTCAGTTCACTTCAATTCAGTTTATTTATATAGACCAAATCACAAAAAGAGTCATCTCAAGGCACTTCACAAAGTAAACATTCCAATAGAGTTCAGTTCATTAACCCAATCAGTACAAAGTTTCCATAAAAAGAAACCCAGCAGGTTGCATCGACTCACTGACTAGCGTCAGAGTCTTTACAGCAATCCTCACTAGCAAGCATGTAGCGACAGTAGAGAGGAAAACTCCCTTTTAACAGGAAGAAACCTCCAGAGGAGCCATCCGCCACGAATCACTGGGGATGGAGAAGACAGAGCAGACACACTCCCACACCAACCAACACACACACACCCACACCTACCGACACACACCAACGCTTCCACTCATTGTTGGTTTTGTAAGGCATCATTGTTTGGCCCAAAAATGAAAAATTCAAGCAGTAATGCTTAAATTCAAAATGGCTTTTCAGCAGCAGCTACTGTACAGAGACTGCCTCCATGTTAGCATCAGAGTGAGTAAAAAGCTACGGGGAGAGTCAAGCCTAGGTCCACACGTCTTTTGTTGTCCGTGACTTGAGGCATGAACATGTTTTTAAACTCATTTGTTTTGCATATTTGCAACTGTAGCTTAAATCTGCTATACCTGATAGCATCCTTGCAATGGTTAGGTTAACGTAAAAGGTTGGAAAACTGTGAAGGGAACATAGGTTGCAGGTTTTCTGGGATGCCCCTGCATCGGGGTCCCATCATGTCATGGCTGACCTGGTTCTTACAAACATTACTTGTTGGTTTTGTGTTCTGCCAGATTGTTGAAGGTGCCTGTATTTTTAAAGATTTCTTAACAGCTTACCATCCATGTCTGTTCTCTTTTTCCTTGTGCTTGTCTCTCGCTCTGCAGCCAAACGCAAAATGTGGAAATTAAAGAGCTTTGGTAGCTTGAGAAACATTAATAAGACAGGTAACACCCGAGGGAGATGGTGCTGACTCAGCATGTGCTCCGATCTACATAAAGCAACTTTCCTGCAGCTATTTCCATTTTTGTGTTCTTGGTATTCATCATCGTGTCGAGCATGAGTTATCATTTGACTTGTTCTCACTGAAATAACCCAGACGTGTTTTTTTTCACCCTCCATCCAACTGTTTGGTGCTGGTTTACATTTCTTTAACAAACACTTCCTCTCCAAATTCCTGCTAATCATGCACTTTTCCCTGCTTTTTGTTTTGTACTTACAGATGAAGAGAATGCAGATTTTATTATAATTTCATTTACTGGACAAACTTGGCACTTTGAGGCTCAGAGCATGGAGGAAAGGGACTCGTGGGTGTCGGCCATAGAGAGCCAGATCCTGGCGAGCTTGCAGTCCTGTGAGAGTGGCAGAAACAAGGTAAAATCCTTACTGACATCATCCAGCTGCTATGGAGCAGAAATAATCTCTTCTGTTTGTTGCTATGATCTGAGCTGTAGAGCTTTTTCACACGACTCAATAAAAAGAGATCCAGGTTTTTATTTTTTTATTTTTGTACGATGACTAAATTTTGCTTGAAAATGTTTTAGAGATCTTGAATGTCAGTGATTCTAAAAACCCCCTTATGTTCTTATCAGACATTCTCACCTGTGTGAGAAAACAAATGCATACACTATTAGGGTCTGACTAATGAGGGATGAAACCGGGAAGAGGTGACAGGCAGACTGGTTAATGGATGAAGAACAGGATGGTTGAGGAGAACAATGAGCAGTGAACACGAGGAGGAAACTGATTACTGCTGATTTAACTGCAGCATGTAGTTGGGGGAAAACAGAATTACAATACAGTCACACATACCTTTGTTCAAGAGACGTATTTAAGCAAAGAAAATGAATAACTTGTGAATTACAACTGCGGTCTCAGACATCAGCGGCCCACAGCTGATTGGTTGTTGACACACGATGCTTCGGATGCAGAAACTAAAACAGTTCAGTTGTTTCAGGCAGACTAGAGAAGCCAGGAACTCGCTTGATTTCAGTCATACGAGTCCTGACTTGGAAAAACGACTTGTGAACATCTTGTAATGTAGAGTAATTAATACCGTAAATATGTTTGCATCCTAAATTCTGGTTCCTAAAGTAAAATGGTAGAAATCTGGAACAATAATAGAATCACACACAGCTCTGGCTAATTAGCATGCTAACGAATAATGTGCTGAGGTCTATTTCCTTCCATGATGAATCTCATTACTGATTAAATTATGAATTCCTCTTCAGCAACCAGGAAACAATGAGAATCTTTAAAAACCTGTTGTCTCCCATAGCTTGAGTTATCTGTGAAATCCCAGCTCAGGCTTTGCTGTTCAGACTAATGTTCCTACATTTTAAATTAGCTCTCATTCATCCATAATAAATCCAGGGCCAAATTAACACTTCGTTGTACCCTGGGCAACAATATTCAAGGGCCCCATCTTCACGACCCAAGGATCACCATAATATGGTCACATACAGAATATTTTACTGTAATATGCAGTAAATATACTCAATACTTGAATGCCTGGCATCAGGTAACCCGCTCAGGGTAACCTTTGACCCACCTTGTGTAGACTGGCCAATGAGGAGAGGGTCTTAACTTGAGGCCCTCTCGTCATTGGTCAGTCTGCATGAGACTGACTCTCAACTGACGTTCAGAGTCATGGGCAGCGAAGCGTCTCTGTGCAGCGCAAAAGCCCGGGTGGACAGTTTGTTTAATGTAGGGTGATCATATTTCCATTTCCAAACAAGAGGACAGGGGATCTGTGCCTATGACATCACACTATGGCAATGCCACACAAACCATGCTGGGACCCATTTTTTGTAAGAACTAAACTAATATCAGATTCTGCCAATAAAAGGGCTCTAAAACAATTTGTATGTAAATATTTAGTATATTCACTGCAAAATCTCATTTTTCTGCTTTAGTGCTGCAACAAGGTTTTATTAATAATAAATTATTATACCTTTTGTTTTCCTACAGCATCGGTAAGCTTCCTGTGCACAGATTATTAAGGATGCTTGTTTCAGCTGTGAGATTAGACGATAGGATCAATGAAAAAATAAGTTGTCACACACTCCATGGAAACTTTCAGAGAATCCACAAATAGTGGCTTTCAAATGGTTTTGTTACTTTTAGCAAGTTTAGAAAAGCAGCAGATGAGACAGCATGCCTGATAGTTTAGTTTTTCATCTGATAATATTAGAACATGTCAGTAATGTCTGAGGGGCTTTTACAAACACTGTATAACTAATACTGCTGGACAGGGTTTGAAGGGGGGGGGGGGGCATTTTGCCTTGGCCCCCAAAATGTCTTGAAACAGCCCTGGCTGTGTGACTGAGTGTTGAAGGTGATCTGAATCAGATGTATAAATATGACATGTGTATAACTTATTGTTTTATACAGGTAGAAACGTGTAGTGGAGATGAATCTACCTACATTTTACTTTTTGTTTTGTTTTCTTGTTTTTATTTAACTATTTCCTGTCCTGTCTGTCTCTCATCTTCCTGCATCTCCTCTAAACTCTCCAGAAAAACTGTTGCCTGGGTTCTTACTTTTTCACCTCATCAGTTACTTTTGAGCAGATCAAAGGGATCTCCTGACCACAAAGCGGAGAGTGCGTTTTCGATGCTGCGTCAGTGAGGTGAAATCACCGCACCACAGGTGATGAGCTCCGCAGTAGCAGAGCGTTTCAGGCGCAAATAAGACAGAAAATAGAGAACATGTGCGGACATGAACAATCGTGTGTTAATTATAGTTTTTTGGTTGCGCCACTTTGAGAATGGACCGTGCGCTGGACGCAGCAGCCTGGAGCGCTGCGCAACAACGCGCTGTGCCGCTCTCTGTGCTCTCTGCTCAAAAGACTCCATAAATGATGTAATATCGGTAGAAAACTTTTTTCCGGCTCCCCTGGAGGTTTAGGATATCCAGCTCCCCCATAATTCGATCCCTGCTCTTGCAAAAGCCGGACATTTTCATCAATACAAGAACTCCCAGTCCGGACGCCCCGGACAGAGAGTGAAAAGTGGACATGTCCGGGGAAAACAGGACGTACGGTCACCATAGTCCTCATAAAGCGGGAAATTACAGATACAGTATTTTGCTCGTGCCCTTGCTGCCCTGGGCCCTTTAGAGTTTGTGGGCCCTGGGCAATTGCCCAGTTGCCCATATGGTTAATCCGGCCTTGAATAAATCCATAATAAATGTTTCAAACATGTGTCTGCAGGCCCGGAGGAGCAGTCAGAGTGAGGCTGTAGCCCTGCAGGGCATCAGAAACACCAAAGGCAACAGTCTGTGTGTGGACTGTGAAGCTCCCAGTAAGTCCTCACAGAGAACAACTACACTTAACCACACAGCTCTCAGCATTAATCTTCCTTTGAAGTGCTCTAGTTTCTAGCCAGTGTCCCTTTGTCTTGTCTCTTAGGTCCCACCTGGGCCAGTCTCAACCTGGGAGCTCTCATCTGCATCGAATGTTCAGGGATCCACCGAAACCTGGGCACCCATCTGTCACGTGTTCGCTCTCTGGACCTGGACGACTGGCCTGGAGAGCTCACACAGGTTCTGGCTGCCATTGGAAATCACATGGCCAACAGCATCTGGGAGAGTTGCACTCAGGGCCGGACCAAACCCACACCCAACGCAACACGGTGGGTTCAACCAAGCCATCACTGTCATAAAGACTTAAAGCTCACTGAAGACATCTTTAAAGTGCAAACTCACTGAGAAACCGTTTTTACTTGTTATCCTTTAAATACAATCGATCACTCTGAGTTTTTCATGAAGGCTGAACATGAAAATAGTCTCCTACACCGATCTCCTGCATTAGTTTCTGATTGAAAATCCTGACACATCAATGTCACTGTCACTTAACATTCATGGACTCACCCATCTTGACTCATCACGGGGAAGGCTGTTGTTGGTTTAGCGTCCAGGAAACAGCGGAGAACGTCTCGACTAGCAGAAGCTAATTATTAGCATTAGCAACTCCACAACATGAGACATTTTTTCCACACAGACAGGGGCCGATTTAGGACTAAAGAAGATCCGGGGCTTAACACCATCGACATATAAATATATATACACACACACGACACGCATACATCATATATATTTGTCTTGTACCACATAATTTTTAATCTGAAGCTACATATTAAGCACATTCAGGGCAGAGTATTGTTCCTGTTAGTGTTTAGTGTGAGATGATAGTAAATATTCCCTTTCTTTCTCCAACAACTTTACCTGATAGTAAGCTAACTTTAGGCAAACCAGCAGCACAACAAATATTTTCAAATAAGACTCACAAACCTGAGTCAACACCAGTCTCATCAAAGCTGGGGTTCTGTCGTTGTACTTTTTGTCTAAAAAACGTCCTTATGTCCATCTTCACTCATGCGTTTCAGGCAGACTGTAGAAGAAGCCAGCTGCTGAAGGGCTTCTTCTTCAGTGGTGGAGGCTCAGGCAGGCTGTATACAAACTACTACCAGCTGCTCCCTCTCTGTTGGACTTTGGTACTGCATGTTACTTCTACGTTTCAGATCCGGGGCTTTCCATAAAACATTCGGGGCTTGAGCCCAAGTAGCTGGGTCTAACGCCGCCCCTGCACACAGACACGATGGGTTGTCTCATTATTCCTAAAAACAGTTTAATAAACAACAGTTGCTGTTTGTGAATGCTCTGGTTAAAAGTGAAACCAACTTAGAGATTTTAAGCCTTGCACTCCCACCATGGTCCTAATGAACAGGGCTCTTTCTTCTGGTTCATCAAAATATTAACAACTAAACCAGAGGTCCAGGGAGGTCCTGGTACTGTGATTTTAAAGGTGACAGTGATTCAGTCATAAAACATTCAGATGCTGAAAAAAATTCACTTAAAATCTGGAGCTTACTCCCTGCTCAGGAGTTAGATCTGTTATGTCTATCGTTTCACATTTCCATATTTGCTGTGTTTCTGTGTCACTAGAGAGGAAAGGGAGTCCTGGATTCGAGCTAAGTATGAACAGCGTGCATTTGTGGCTCCTCTTCAGCCAGCCTCAGGGACCAAGCTGTTAGATGAAAGCATGCCAGTGTGGCTGCTGTCTGCAGTGACTGAGAGGGATCTACCCAGGCTGCTGCTTCTCCTGGCCCACAGCACTAAGGAACAAATCAACACCCAGCCGACCGGGTCGTCTGCACTGAGTCGCACGGCTCTGCACGCTGCCTGCCAGCTGGGAGACGTGGTCATGACCCAGCTGCTCATCTGGGTGGGTCTCTTTTTGTTTCCCTGATCCAGGAAAGAGAGGAGTACACAGCCAATAATGATTATTATTAAGTGTTTATTGCTGTAAATAGCTGTCTGGTGGGCTATAATGTTCTGGCCTTGTTGGTCACATATCTCATAAACCACTAAGAGGAACTTTCAGAAAATAATTATTGGACGGATTTCTAGAACTGAGTAAAGGTCGAAATCTACTCTATTCAATTCAATTCAAAAATACTTTATTAATCCCAGAGGGAAATTAGAGTTTCAGTACACACAATTCTGAGATCAGACATACATTCATACATAGACAAGAATTGGTGACTGTGGTCATTCGCAACCCGAGTCGTGCTACCGTAATAGATCAAGAGGGTTTATATGAGGATAGAGTCAGGGGGAGGGAAAAAGGCACTTCAGAGTTACCCACAACAGGGAGGGCAGCTTTGCTATGCAAAAAACACCTCAGACAGAAATGCTCACAGGCTTCAGACATCACACAACATAAGTGTCCACTAGGTGGGGAGGTAGGGTTGGGACTCTCCTCACTTCAGTGCATGCAGCCGCATGGAGCAGCGTTCATCACCCCAGTTTGGACATGGGAGGGAGATAATGGGTTAGAAAGCACAGTGACTCCTAGATACGGTTCCACAGCCTTCACCGGTCACAGTCCCGCTCAGGCTGGGATAGGGAGAAAGAGTTTCCATAGCGACGGCAGCTTTCCACATTTCTTCGGGGGGGGGGGGGGGGGGGGGGGGGTCACTTCAGCCTCACAGGATCCAAGGGCACCAGATTCAGATAAGAATTGTTTGGGGACAGACGGAGATAATTTCCTCTCTGCCTTAGTGTTCTGTTGGTCTTCAACCCCTCTAGATCCTACGGGATCTAGAGCTCAAAATCTGTTGAGAAATTGAGAAATTTGTTTTGATGTGGTGAGGGATGGAAGTCTTTCACATTAGATATTCGGAGTGCTCACAGATCATGCCACGTCCATAATTCCTGAAGATGATGGACCAAAAACACAACTCAAGAAAGCAACACTGGTCCAGCTGAAGGAGCTATTAAAAGTCTCCGCTCAGTTCATGGCAAATTTCCTTTAAAAAGATAAATCATAAAGATACTGAATACATTTCAATGATGCATACTGTAAATCAGGACCAGCAGGTCTCAGTGTGCTCCAGAGTAACTTAATAAAATTGTTATCTTTTAGTGACAGGAATGACCAGATCCTGGAGCATTACGCCTGTTTGCCACTCTGATTGGCCGCTTTCTGGGGTCGGGTAGCGGGTGTAGTAGTCTAAGCAGGGAGGCCCAGACTTCCCTCTCCCCAGCCACTTGGGCCAGCTCCTCCAGGGGAATCCCGAGGTGTTCCCTGGCCAGCTGAGACACACAGTCCCTCCAGCGTGTCCTGGATCTTCCTTTGGGTTTCCTCTCTGTTGGACGTGCCCAGAAACCTCACCAGGGAGGCGTCCAGGAGGCATCCTAACTAGATGCCTGAGCCACCTCAGCTATAAAAACAATTATATACAACAAATGTGGTTCAATATGTAGTCAAAGATATTTCTTACAGAAACCAGAAGCATGTCAGGTACAAGTTCATTGTTCTCTGCTGTAGCTGTAATTCTAAATATCATTAACATTATTATGACTCATATCTGGGCCAGGGTTGCATGGTACAAGCTCAGTGAGAGGCCCGTTCTCCAGCAACCTTCAGCTCCACTGGTGGGATCCCACGGCATTCTCTGGCCAATGTGGGAATATAATCCCTCCTGCATGTCCTGGGTCGACCCTGGGACCTTCGATCACTTACACATGTCTGAAACAACTCCCCTGTGAGGCACCCAGAAGTCATCCTTACCAAATGCCCAAACCACCTCAGGTGGCTCCTCCACACAGAGGAGCAGCGGCTCTACTCTGAGTCTGTCCCAAAAAACGAAGCTCTTCACATATCTCAACGGCTCAACCAGAAGAAGCTCATTTTGGCTGCTTGTATCTGATTTTTGTTCTTTCGGTTAACACCCACAGAGGTGAAGAGCGGGATGATAGTCTGATAAACTGAGAGCTTTGCTTTCTAGCTTAGCTCTTTCTTCACCACAACAGATGGCTTTTTGCATCTGCATCACAGCTGCTGCTGTCCGATCTGCCCCTCCCTCCTACCCTCACTTGTGAGCAAGTCCCCCTCACTTCACAAACCCTGACCAGAATTGGCCATCCAGCCTTTTCTGTTCAAGGACTCAGAACTGGAAGGGCTAATTCTCATCCCAGCAGCTTCACACTGGGCTGCAAACCTCCCTAGCATCAGCTGAAGGTCCCATTCTATTGGAGCCAAAAGAACCACATCACCCACAGAAAGCAGATACAAGATCCTCCACCCACCACTGCTGCTCATCATTATTTATCCTTATCAATTGTTTAATTCATATTAATTTTACCTGTGGTGTAATCTTACCTGTGGGTGGGTTCAATAGTTAGTATCTATTTGAATAGATAGAAGCTCCACTTTCAATTGAAGAAAAAAAAATACATTGAGATATTCACTGCTCCAGGTAATATTATCAGGGTTCTGGACGTTGTTACCCATTCTGTAAAGGAGCTTTCATTTGAATTGTTCAGGAAGTCCATTAAAAAGATGATATCTTTGACTAAATAATAAACATAATATTATATATTATTATGACATAATAAATGTTGTATTTTTGTGGCATCTTGTAACACACCAAACAGTGAACTGCCTCTACTGCTCTCAGTGTTGAATCCATGTTTTTTTTTCTTTTGGCTACAGTATGGAATCGATGTTAAAGCAAAGGACAGCCAAGGCCAGACACCCGTGATGATAGCCAGAAAAACTGGAAGCAAAGGCTGCATCGACATTTTGCTCCAACACGGAGGCTCTAACGATGCGTCTCCCACCGCTGCCACCCCGGTCCTCTCTCGCCGCTCCAGCACTGCCAGCCTGGGCCGAACCAGCTCCAGGAAGCGGGTGACATAATGTGGGCTGCTGTCACGTTGGGGCTGGATGCCTGGAGGACCCATGAAAATCCTGAAAACACTGAGCAGTGGGTGGGAGAAAAAAGACTTCTATAGTATATAAGAAATAAAACGTTGTTTCTGAAGACTGAAGAGCACGTTACCCAACGTCAAAGCAATATTCCTCCAGTGAGTCGATGAGCAACATTTTGCTGTCTGGTAGACCTGTAGCACTCTTCTGTAACATTTAAAGCTCCCACTCTGTCTGCTTCTTCCCCACTTCCTCCTGAAGAAGTGCAATAATCAGCTACGATGAAGAAAAGCAACAATGTTATCATGAACGCTCACCTCAACAAACATCAAAGAGATGTTTTTATTCAGATTTGTTGTGACAGGACCAAAAAGGCAGCTTCGTTTTCCTCTTTTGGCTTTAAAATTACATTATGTCATTTTATTTTTGGGGGTGGGGTGGGGGGTTGGGGGGGGGGGGGGGGGGGGTCCTGCCAGTTTGGCCAGTCTAAACAGTTTAACTGTATTAAAGCACCTGAAAAAATAAATATGGGTAAACTAGAGAAGAGTGGTTTTGAAGATGAAATATAAAGAGTCTGTGTTATTATCAGGAGTCCAAAGTGACATTTTAATATTCTGTACATGTAAAACATACGTGAAGTTCAAAGACATGCGGTTTTTCTGTGGTTTCTTACTGGTGGTTTTAAAATTCTGTCATGCTTGTTTTGTCATTGTCTTTTATTGTTTCTAAAAGCCCTACATACAGTGACCGCACACATCTGGCATCGCTGAGAGACTACATGAAGATGGTGCTCATATTACTGCTGTGTCATTATTACAACAGACGCTCTACTGATTGTGTGAATCCCTCATTAAAAGAACAAAAAACTCACCAGAATAAAGACATTTTGTATTAGCATCAACGTGATGGTGTTTGGTTTCATTCAGTGGTCGTGTGTGAACATTCCTGCTGCTCCCCGGCACGCTGAAGTGGGTTTCAGGATAAGGTTATGAACAGATATTATCTTACATCACTCAATCAACAGCCTCAGTTTGTAGAAACAGATTTGACTGGATCGATAGGCTAACAGCTAGTGTGAGTGAGGCCAGTGACCAAACAGTTTTTGCAGTCTTAGAAAAAGGTTTGATGTCCAGAAGTTTATTTAAACAATAATCCACAGAGCGGTCACCCAGGTTCAGAGCTAAGGGTAGCCATCAGCTGACACACCATATTGATGTATTCATCAGGTGTACATTACACCTCCGCTCAACAAACTATTCTGTGGTTATTTCCTGCAGAGGTTTTCTGTAGAGCTAGCTCCTGTAGCATTTCTCGCTGGACTTCCATAATAATTGCTTCAGTAAGTAAAATGCTATAATATTTGCATGAACAGATTTTTTTTATTTAGCTTAAGATGTTGGACGCTTTCTAACTAGCACCATTAAAGCAGACTCATCTGTCTAATCACAACTAAACCCTGTTTCTTCAGACTGAGGCTGTTCAAAGTTGTCTACAACAGGTAATATATTTGTTGTTTCCACAGAAGCCCCCTATAGCAGAAGATCGGAAGGCTTTAGTACCTGAACAGAAAAACATCTGGATCTATGTAGACTGAGTCAGGCTACATTCTCAGTCCGAGTTAATGATCTGACCACAGTTTTGGTTCCAGTGGACAGTCAGGAATAGTTCTGTTCTTAGGTTCGTGGTGGTTTAAATTTCACCGCAGAGACCGATCTGATGGGTCGGATCGCACCAAACCCGTCTCACCCTGGGCACAGTCTCTTCGACTTGCTCCCATCTGGCAGGAGGTTCCGATCCATTCGGACAAGCACCTCTCGCCACAATAACAGTTTCTTCCCCTCTGTGGTTGGACTCAAGAATGTCAATCATAGAACTGCCCACTCCAGCTGCTTTGTTCCAGTCACATGACCCTAGTGTTGTGTTTGTGTTTATTTCTTACTTCAAATTTTTGCTTATCGTTTCTTTTTTCTTGCACCAAGTACTGCAGCAGTTTCCTAATGTTGTGATTCTTGCACATACGGCAATAAAATCCTTCTGATTCTGACTCTGATCTCCTCTTTTACGTGCACAGAAGGAACAACATGCAGCTCGTTTTGTTTTACATCCTCCTTTGTGATTCTATTGTTATTAGCTAAGCTGATGTGATCAGTGAAGGTTTCCACTTCCTGGATTTTTGACCATCAACATTTCTGAACCTGTGGTTTGATGTTGTTCCCCTGTGAGGACACATCTCTGCTTTACACTTCCTTTATGCAAAAGTTTCACACAATGGGTGGTACTAAACCTGTCCGCACTTCTGTCTGTAAAAGAACATTTGCATTCAAAATGCAGATAGATTTATACACCAGACAGAGAAGGATTTCCAGGAAATGACTGAAACAAGATGGCTTCAGCCTGAACAAATACCATTATACCTTTGCCTCTCCAACATGTATTTAACCTCCTGACACCCTGTGTCCTTTTATAGAATGTTACTGTTGAAGCTCAGCCACATGGCTGAAAGATGAAGGTTCAACCTGTTGAGGTGGGATGCAGAGAACTTAGCTAATATAACATTAAGGCTGCTACGCAAGCTTGGTATGCTGAGCCGTGGTCATCAGCGGCCGATTAAAGACCTAGAGCTGCTGCAAGGGGCAGTCAGTGTTTCTGGTTTGGAAGAAAGAACTCTAGCAAGGCTTCAACTGGATATGAACCCAGGTCGCCGGAGTCTCTGCTGAGCCCTCTGGAGATGTTGAGAGCCTATCAGCAAAATGCTGAACCTAGGGAGACGCCATCATTCGGTTGATTATCCCACAGTCCAAGCTGCAGGTCTCTTGAGTAGGGATTGCGACATCTGGTCCTTTGAAACAAATTGACATTGCACTACAATATTTTATTTTTGTGGACTGCAGTGCTTATACAGAGACACTTGTATTTTGACAAGATAAACAAACAAGTAAATAAATAATTAAATTCAAGTCTTAACTGGTTAGCATTTCTACGTACGCGTCTTACTACTTACTGAGGGTTTTTCTCAGTATCATAAATGTTCACACAGCTGCTCTTTTTTGCACAAAAATCTCTTAGGTTGTGTGCATCGGGTCTGTTGGAGCCACACTCCCCATTTTGGGTTCAATGATCAATGACACCAAAAAGACCTTGACTTACTACTTCTCTAGGTCCTCATTTAGCTCTATCTATCTATCTATCTATCTATCTATCTATCTATCTATCTATCTATCTATCTATCTATCTATCTATCTATCTATCTATCTATCTATCTATCTATCTATCTATCTATCTATCTATCTATCTATCTATCTATCTATCTATCTATCTATCTATCTATCTATCTATCTATCTATCTATATTTATAATAATATTGTTGACGTGATGTTTATTATTATTGTTTTATTAATTCAAATAATTACTTCTTTTTATTTTTTAGCAAAAGCAACAATGTTAGACATTTTTATTGCTGTGTTACCTCAAGACTGTAGGGGGCGGTGTGACCAGTTTTGGTGACTGACGTCACCATAACGCGACGGATCCTCACAAAGGTTTTAATAATATGGCTAACAACTGTGTTGTGTTGAAAACAAAAGAGAGAAAACAGATTTTCCACAGCAGCTTTAAATGATAAATGCTTTTTGGGTAAGTCTTGATGAAAACAGGAGTGTGGGGAGTTTTTTTTGCTGCCGTTAAAGAGAGTGAAATGTGTGTTTTAGCTGTTTATTAGCAGAGTTTCCATTATTAAAATGTCTGTACTGATAATAAACTCGGTCCAGGCTCAGTTTTCATAAAACTGCTGCATTTAAACAACGATAAACTCTATAGTTAGGATTTAGAAAAGCGTCTGGCTCAATATAGTTTCTAAAGTGATTTCTATGTTTTAAAAACATCTGTATTCTAAAGAAGTTTAGTTTTGGTAGAATTTCTAATTCTCTCAGTTTTTAATAATTTCATATTAACAATGAGACCGTGTCTTATGAGCTTTTTAAAGGATATCATCAGCTGTTTTAGAGAAAATGTATTGGCACAATGAACTTCATTTCTATTAGCAGCTATTATTGCTAAAACTGCTCTGGTTTATGGTCAAGACACGTTTAGGCAGCTCCTGGCTTTATCAGACAGTTCTGCTCTTTTGCTTCTTTCAAGTAAAACTCAGAATTTTTCAAGGGAATGTTAAAAGCAAGATATATATAAAGAAACCTGTGTCCAAATAAAGGTAAACAGATAAATTATAAGGCATTTGTTCTTTCTAGCCATCCATCCCAGATGCGATGTTGATGATGATGATGATGATGATGATGATGATGCCTGATTCAAGATAACCACAGTGCTTTTCCTGAAGCTTTAAATCCTTAAAATTGGTTGAATTTTACTGTGTGATGTTCAAGGATGCAAATTTAATATTTATGAGATTAAAAAAAAACAATAAATTTGAGCTTAAATTTGATTTTGGTAAAGGCGTAAGATCCCTGTGACAGATGTATCATGTTTAGAGTTCATCTGTATTTTAGGCTATAAGAGTTTTGTGCCTCTCTGAGTGTGTCACAGTAGATTTACTCCATGACAGATCCTTACAGTTGAAGCTTTTTGTTGTCCTCGTGATTCTACAGGTAGGACTTTAGGGGCAGCAACACGATGAGGATTCAGCTGAAGGGTCCTGGTCTTGCAGCCAACCTGCTTGCCGAACTCAATCGCTGCCGCCAAACGCGCCAGTATTGTGACGTGTTCCTGCAAGTCAGCAGCCGGACGTTTGCAGCACACCGGGCTGTTCTCGCCTGCGCTGGGACGTACTTCCACAGCTTGTTCTCGCAGCCTCCAGCTACAGCGTCTGCTGTGTTTTCACTGGAATTCATCTCCCCGGTCAACTTTGAGAAAGTGCTGACATTCGTGTACACAGGGGAGCTCTTGATTGATCTCATCGATGTGGGGGTGCTGTATGAGCTGGCTGAGAGGCTTGGTGTGGGTGAACTGATGAGAGCTTGTCATGCCACATTTCCTGACCTGCAGGCCTCTGTGTCTGCTAAAGAAGGCAGCGCAGGAGACCTCCCATTGGACCCAGTCATGGTCAGCGCCACATCTGCAGTGGCAGCAATCAGTTCAACCTCAATATGTTCCTCCTCTGCTGCCTCCTGCTCATCTCTGTCCTCGTCAGCCGGTCCGTCCACTGTCCCGACTCCTGCCGCCGCTCCCTCACCTGTCTTCCAAACCGGGGCATCCAGAAAAGAAAGCAATGATAGAGGGACTTTATCTGTGGACCTGAAGGCAGAAGACATACAGTCCCATATCAGCTATGGACAGATGGCAGTTGATCTTCAGCTACAAACAACATCTCTGTTAACTAGCAGCAGCCTTTCTTGTGAGGTGGAGAGTGTGCTGCGTCAAAGACCAGTGCTCCAGTTGAAGACTGAACAGGACTTGGACGATGAGGGGACAAGTAGACACAATGAAAACTGTGGGACACCTGGTGAAGTGGTCTCTGAGAGCAGAGTGAGCTCTTTGCCTCGGAGCAGTGACCCAACTCTATCTGACTCCTGCTCCCCCTCAGAATCTTCCGCTGAACTCAGAGCTGAGGCCTGTGCCCCATCATCATCCTCAGGAGATCCTCCAGGGAGCCTGCAGGTGATGTCCGTGGAGGGTGGTGTAGCAAACAAGGAGGGGGACAGCTCTCCTATGTTTACTGAGGTACAGACAGGGCAGAGTAAGGATGAGAAGAAGGCTCCAGAAGCTAACGGGGAGGAGCCATGGAGACAGTTGGCAGGTGAGATCATTGAACTGAGTGACGATGAGACTTACATGGAGGACGGGGATGATGCGGATGATGACGATGACCTTGTGTGTTTGGAGAATGGCGATACAAGTGAAGTAGGAAGTCAGGTAATGACTGTGGCCTTCAGCTATAAAAAATCTTAGTAAAATGAGAACACTAATGATGTTCTTTACTCATGCAGGTCATACGAAACATTTTAACATGTAAAGCCTGCTCAGCGTCGCTTCCTGCAGACCCGTTTTTTATCAGGAAACATGGTGAGAGCCACCTGACGGAGCTGGGGCTCTGTAAGGTGTGTGGATCCTCGTTTCCAGACCGCACCGCCGGCGTCTGCCACGTCATGACCCATGTTGGGGTTCAGCTCTTCACCTGTGATATGTGCCATGCCCAGTTCTGCAGCCAAAACAAGCTACTGCGTCACCACTACCAGACAGCCTCCAGCTACAGCCTACCACAAGGGGCCCTCGTTAGCAGCAGCAGCCAGAACCTGGGTTCAGAGCTGAAGTGCTCTGTGTGTCTCAAAATCCTCAGCAAGGGCTTCCAGGTAGATGCATGTTTATATTGTGGTGGGACACCAGACTTATAAACATAAATTCAGCTTTGGTTTTATTTATGTTTTCTTTGGAATAGCTGTAGACAGCAAACATAAAGAAATACAGAAAATAAAACATCATAACAACATTATGATGTCATCCTGGAAAGGAAACTGAATCTATGTTGATGTGCAAGTTAACATGCAGCACACGTGCAGACGGCTTTTATCTTTAGTGGTGTATATAAAAGAAGGGGTGTTCTGTTGCAATCAAACATGTTTTCATCCTATCTGATCCATATGGTCACACTCATCTCCAGATCTCTATAGTTGACTTGCTGTCAAAAGTTTTGATTCAGGTATTATAATACAACTCTTCAGTTTGTGGTGAATAGTAATCTATTCCAGAGACAGCAGTCCTCTCTGTGAGAACAATTAACCGAACCCTGTGATCTGTGTCTCCCTGCTCTGTGATCTTCTACTGAAACATCACATTTTAAAGTGACAGTGTGTAGCTTTTACCATTAATCTCTAGAAACATCCATCAAATTAAATGATGCCCAGCTGTTTAAAAATATTGGCGGCTTTGTCACATATAACCATAAACATCTGATCTAAAATACATGTTTTAAGTCTCAGTGTCAAGGCGCCTTGGCTATCAAGGCAATGACACTGTCCTTCCTTTGTCAAAGAAACTGGTTAAATGGAACAGACCTCAGGTGACGTCACATGACATGTGAGGTAAAGTTAAAGTTCATACATTTAAGTTTCAATATAAATATATAATGAGCCTTTTACTTTTTAATTGTGTGTACTGTGTAAGTAAGTTACTACCTGTTAGCCACCGAAGCTGCAACTACTAAACAACGAATGAACCATAGCTAACTGCTTTATATCTAAAAATAATATTTTAGTTAGAAGCCTGATGGCTACAGTTAGTTGACTTACATTTAAACTGGAAATGTGACTCCGTAGTAGCTGCAGGTTTCTGATCCACCATCCTTTTGAAAATACTGCTCTGTATTCTGGGAACTTTTTGAACAAGAGAATGCAACAAGACATCTCCCATGTATCCTTGGTCAGCTAGCTAAACGACTAACCATCATCAACCTTTATTTATAAAGCACATTTAAACGGCAACAACGATAATCAAAGTGCTGTACAAGACAATACATCACCAAAACAGTCTC